CCCAACTTGATCTTGTTATCAGGTCGACTTAGTTTAACTCACTTTGTCCTAAGTCCTCTGCTACAATAGATATCATAATTCCAAGCATAAGACCGTGAACTTTTTACGTTCTCAGACATCATAGCCGGCATCGTAGTCGGTATCAGTGAGTCTTGACATTCTCATCACCAAGCTACAACTCGTCAAAGAAACAAGTGAAATCAATTCCTCGACCAACGTTCTACCGAAACGGTTGTACTATCACTCCTGTTTCTGTCCTGGCCCATCTATCTGCTCCTTATCCCACTTCCGCCTTTTACAATTTCTGACTTGTTTGCATTACACTCGTCAGAAGCTGTGCTCTTTGTGGCCTTATAACCTGCTATTTATCTTGCCCCTTCTTGCGATTGGCTAATCCGACTCGGGTCTCCTATCCGGATCTCTTTCATGGTCCCGTAGCTCTGTTTCTTATCTTTCTAATTGACCGATTTTATGTGATTTCAGTCCCAGTATACATTTTACTCCAGGCACTGTTTCTTAAGCTGCCTCACTAAGTGGAGTGCCTAGACTCTGATTCCGATGTTTGCAGATACTAGGACTGGATTTCTAGTACATTTTTGCCATAATGCCGAACTTCTGTGATGGTTGTGTTTGTCCGTTGCCCTAGTTTTGTGACCACCAGGCCCCCAAAGTTTCTTCGAACAGACTTCACTCACTGAGAGCGTCTGCTTTTGTTTTTTGAAGTTCCATCTCCCTTCCTCCTTGCGATCCCTTTTCTTCTGGTTAACAATAGGTTCTTGATACAAGCATCTCCTTTTTGTTGGTCTTGCCGTATTCTTGTTTTCCCCGAGTTCGTTTAAGCATTATGCAAAGTTATCGCTAACTCTACCTTCCTCCAATTTCTTGTTCATTATATTTTTTCCCCAAGGATGTCAGTGGCCTCCCTAATCTTCCGTGTGCCTGTTCTTTTATTGTATGAGGTCCTTATTTCAGTTGTCTTCCAATTGATCCCTTGTCCAGTCTGTGCGAAGTTCCGCTCATTACGATCTTTCGGTATCCATTTTCCTTGAGAGCCTTTGGTGCTCCTTGATTCGTATGCTAATTTTTCTTTCCGTTTCGCCGATATATTTATGTTCGTAGCCACCACATGCTATGCAGTAAACTCCTGAACAAGCACATTTGCCCACCCTCTCATGTTGCGTCGGTAGACTTCTCAAGACTGTTGTCTTATCCTTCATGTCCAGTCTAATGTTCCATTTCCTTAGTTTTGGTCGTAGCTGTTGAGTTAGTTCGTAGGAAGTTAGGCATATCCTCTCTTATGAATCTTCCGTCCCTACTGTTATTTTGTAGTCCCCTTTCCTGCCATCGGCTTTTCACCGCCCATATGTTTCTTTGCATTGCTTCGCTTGGGTAGCCCTTGCCGAGGCATATCCTAGTAATTTGCCAATTCTTCATCTCAGAATATCATGTAGGCTTCGAATTATCATGCTCCCCATTATGCTTATCCTTATCCTGTAGTTGTGATGGGACTGGAAGTTGAGTGCTAGCCCGGCATATGACTTCTGAAAAATTTCTTGAGTCTCCCATTAGAGCGAATCGCAGGAAAGGCAACCGCTCATCTTCCTCTACTTTCATCGTTAATTTGATTTTTTCATCAATCCGGTATATAAACTTCAAAAAATTTTACAGGTATTCTCTTACATTCACAAAGTGCGTAGTAATCGTTCAGGTATTGCATGAGCGCTGCTGGTTGTAGCGGTGGCATCTTGAAGTTCTCTTCTAATTTGCCCATGTATGTATTTGCCAAAAGACGTGAGAGCGGCGGTCCTATGTGAAGTCCAAATATTTGTTCATAGCTGGTCCCGTTGAATCTAAAATAGATCTTCCTTATTGTCAAGTTGATTAGTCGTGTTAACGGCTCCCTCCTGATTCTTTCTGATTCCAGCATATCCTCCTCTCGGTCCAGAATTTCCAGCAGGGCTGTTAGTTTTGTTTCTATAAAGATGTATGTATACTTAGATTGTACAACAAAACGTACCAATAAATCTATGCTTCTTCCAGTGCAATGCTTTTGATTCTTTGAGAAAATTTATATGAATATTTTACTATGTTTGATAACCTGTCATTTAATTTGTCAATTTTCAAACATGAATTTTGCCAGTTTATGTGATGCTCCATACTTGTTGACTATCAGCCTTAGTGACTCGCCTTCATTTTGTGTCTTCGGTAATCAGTAGGCTGTTGGTGGTTGTGCATCATTTCTTATGATTGCGTTTTTTGTCCATTCGTCAATTTCCCTGTTCCTATGCATATATTTCAGTATGTCACTTAAGATTCCATTGAGTTTCATAGTTGAGTCCTTTAGTATACGATATGTAGTCCTGTCTCGTAGAATATATTCCATCTTCTCAGTATATTATTTTTTGTCCATCATCACTGTTGCTCCTCCTTTATCCGTATGAAGGACTAATTGTTCATTCGTCTCCAGGGTCTTGCGTATCCTGGCAAATCTGTTATTGTGCGTTGGTTCTTGACCTGCCAAGATCTTTTGAAATTAGTTTCATCGCTTTTTCCCGCTTTGTCTCCTCAGGGAGCTTTTTGGAGATATTGACAACCTCCACCAGGATGTTATATATATATATATATTTATATTTATATATGGGTAACATTTAATGGAATGTATTTTGAAATTGTTTTATAACTTGTTGAATCTGTCCAAAGTTCATGTGTCTTATCATTTTGTTGATCTCACTAATTCGTTTAATCTTGCATTAACTACTAGCCATTCTTATTCTTAAATTTTCCAGTGTAGTTTTGCTTTAAATTAGCCTTAGGTTGCTACACTTAGCAATACTAGCCAAATAATGAAACATTTGATAATTGAGCAAATGTATAGACTCGAAATATATAAGAAACAGCTTATTTTTTTCCAATATACTTTTCCAATATGATTAGGTGATAATTATCTGCGTATTTTAAGCCAAAGTGTTTTTATTTTTCTCTAACGCCAAGTATAAAACTAATGTATGCTTAACATGCTTATTAACTTTTTACCTCTAATTCTAGCTCTAAATTATTTGTTAAATACGCCTGATTTCGGTATCCATTTTTTGAATTCAGTGACCAGACGTTGCCCTCATTGAGGTCTCTGCTGCCACCTGATAGTGATGAGCGCCGAGATCTCGAAGACTTAAAACTCGTGATTAAAGCCAACTCAAAAAAGATGAATGATCTTGGTCAAAAATGTCTTACTAGGCGCCTGTCAGAGGCTTTTCCAAATCCCGCTACAGAGTGCAAACCACCGAGGTACATATTTAATTTTTTTGCCAATATTTTTTGGTTGGATTTACTTCAGTTTACTTCTACTCATACCTACTTATTCACCTGTTATAATTTAATGATT